AACAGATGGGCGGAGATTGCTAAAAGGATTCCTGGGAGGACTGAGAATTCCATCAAGAATCACTGGAATGCGACTAAGAGACGCCAGAATTCCAGAAGGAGAAGCAGCAAGAAGGTTCAAAAGAATAATAATAATGATTCTGCACTCAACAAATCCACTGTTCTTCAGGACTATATAAAAGCCAAGTATCCCAAAGTGGATTCCGGCAGTATCTCCGGCGCCGCCGTGTTATCAGAGAGCCCTTCAATCCAAACTGACCAGATTTTGTCTCCTCCGTCGCCCGCCGGCGAGGATGACGGTTCTTCCTCCTTGCTGATGCAAGCAGAGGCTTACCATGACGAGGATATGAGCTTCATGGAGAGTTTATTTGGAAACAACTCCACTCCCTACCCGACAATATTGGCGGCGGATCCCGACAACCTTAATAAACATAACGAGGAGCCCATTCTGCCGCCGCCAGACCGTTACATCGCCTACTTGTTGGAAGGGGCGACATCTTCATCATCAATGGAGTTTACGATGAACCAGCTGGGATCATCGTACTGTTATCCTTCGTTGTCAAGTGGATCAAAGGCTAAGGATATTGACTTGATGGAGTTGATCTTTTCTTCTCCTTCTCAATCATCTCAAGGAAGCAACAACAATACCAATTAATCATCCAGAACCATTATTATCTGATCTGATCATCATTTATCTTCTTGGTATTATGAGTACTAATTATATATATATATATATATATATATATATATATATATATATATATATATATATATATATATATATATATATATAATGCATGCATTCGAGTTGTTTGGTTTAAGATATTTACCTTTTCAGGTTGTTGTTAATGGACATTTTTCGAGCTATGTTTGATAATTTAGGTTTTAATTAGGGTAATATAATGGAGTTATGGTATTGTGTGTAGGTGCATGATCTAGTTTGTAATTTCCATATGTTTTAGGTGAAACTTTTTTATGTATTTTAATGTTTGATGACTTTGATCTACTTAATGGTAGCTAGTAAGTTTGTGTGTACATGCCAATGTGGTTTAATTACGCATATATTTTTACTAATAACTAGAATCGTTGATCAATGTGTATCTATGAGGCTAATCTAGTCGAGTGTCATTATATTGGTTAAAGGCTCCAGTTAAAAATAACGTAAGTATGTAACCTTATTTAATTTATGAGACTAATTCAGTTGAGTGTCATCGGTCAGAGACCGCAATTAAAAACAACGTAATCCTATTTAGAGCAGTCTCATCGATGGAGTAATTGAGATGGCTATGGACTAAATACTCCAATTGTGCATTGAGTGCTTAAAGAGTAAGGTAAACCGCATTAGGAAAATCTTGTACAATAGATCGATTCAATTAAGACATGCAGTTGGCAATAATCAAACTTATAACCTTTATATATTATATTAGATCACATTTTATTTACTTGGTCCCTCTTTTCGAGGTTGAGCCAGCGTTTTTTTGGTCATGTATGCCCTAGTGGGTGATAATACAATGGCGTAATTGCATATGACTAATTGGATGCATGCACGGAATTGATGACTCACCAGCAGGGCTTAGTGTAGTGGTTCATTGAAGGCAGCAATGTGGGGATACCGAAAAAAAAAGTTCCACATGATGGAATGTGTGGATTGGATATCTTTTGTGCGCATGAAAATTAAAAATTAATGGGTACACTGATTGCACGACTCGCAATTTACCTCTACAGTAATTTTAGGGACAATCTCTTATAAGTTTAGGATTAATCTTGGAAAGTTGTTATCACCTCATTTTTTTTTTTTTTAATTGTGACTACATTCAACTCCTAATTGAAGCAGCTAGAACATGCATGTATTTCAACAGATGTTGATCTGGTTTTATTAATTAATTTGAATAATTAAGGTTTCTTACGTTGTTCCTACGTCATGATAATTAACTACAAGAAGACACTGTTGGATTATTTTTTTTTTTCTTTTCTACTCGTATACCATATCCGCTCCCGAGGTGGAAATTAAGATTTTTTTTTTTTTTTTTTTGGAAAAAGGTGGAAATTAAGAATTAGAACATTAAATTGTTAGAAGAATATGTATGGTGGCCAGGCCACGAATTTAATTTCGACGGTTTCTGTTGAGGGATGGGATAATATTATTATATTGTTTAATCATTTTTATGGAGTACAGAGAACGACAAATGATATGCATATCCAGTATATTTTGGGTGTAATTTATTGGTAAATTAGATTATGCTCATTTTAAAATAAATAAAAAGTATTGTCTTGGAAGATTAAGTCTTACATTTTACTATTTAGATGTAACATTAATTGGTGTAATTGGCTAACTTATTAAAATTGGTATTTGCTAATAGCTATAAATTTGACGTAGTGATAAACACTTAATCTTGAGAATGAGTAGTCATGTGTAGTGATAAGCGTTTAATTTTAATAGAAAAATTTTACGATATTAAATAGTTAGGAAAAATGCAAATTACTATAAATTAGAAGGGCAGTGAATTTTGGTGAGTAATGAAAGTAAAAATATTATTTTATCTAAAAAATACTAACGTCATTTATTTATTTATTTATTATTTTTTATTTAGAATCAAAAGGACATGGTAAACTCATAGGAGCAAAAACCAATAAGGGTGTGTTTGGAAACCCAAAAAATGAATTCTGGAAATCATTTTTTGAGTTTTCAGTGTTTGACAAGGAGGAAAATACTAAAGTCAATGGAAAATGAAGTTTGATCTATGAAAAATTGGTGCACTTTTCCAGAAAATGACTTCCCCTTTTTTGAGGGGAAGTCATTTTTTGCTTCTTCTTCGTTGAGCACAGAGGCCTTCTTTGCGTCATTCACCACGTTGTTTCCTTCTTCGCACAAAGACCAAACTTCTTCTTCGCACAGAGACCGACCTTCTTTTTCGCACAGAGACTGGCCTTCTTCTTTGCATAGAGATCGACCTTCTTCTTCGGACAAAGATCGGCCTTCTTCTTCTCAAAGAGATCGACCACCGAAAACGTATGGTTTCTGACTTGGAAATCCACAGATCTGTTTTTCCAAGTCGGAAACCATCTGGTTTCCGGTGACTTGCCCCATGTTTGTTCTGGTTTGGTTTCTAGGCAATGAAACTAGTCCAATTTTTTTTTTTTTATAATAAATTTATTATTTGGAATTTATACAATGAAGTCATATCTATTATATGTTAAAGATTTGAAAAGTATACATTCCTAGACAAGCTAAATCAATGGTGAAGTATAAAATTTTGCTCATTCTCCCTCATTTTTTGAAAAATGAACCAAACACACAAATACAGTTATCTGTTGTGCAGTCAAACACCGGAAAGGAAAATGTTTTCTAAAAAATGGCTCATTTTCTAGAAAACATTTTCAAGAAGTCATTTTTCTGCTATCCAAACGGACCCTAAGCTCCATTTTTCTAGTGCGCGTTTTGCTCACCAGTCGCACAGAATTGACGCTTGTATTGCACGCACTTACTGAGTTTTTTTTTTTTTTTTTTTTTTTTTTTACCCATCTATCTCCTCCCTTTATTTTCTTGCTGGCTCCGAAAAAACTTGCACAAAAACTATACTATTGGCCTTGTTCTAAACATGATGACCTTCCATATATGTGAAAGTCCAATAAGTCTTTGCACTAATATAATCTCAAACCCGGTAATATCATAGCAATACATATATCGTAGATCAGGGTTCAGTTTGTAAGGTAGACTATGATCTACAAATTTAATGTAGTTAAAATATATCATTAAAAATATCGATCGACACCATTCGCCCGCCCTACGTACCGTTTTAAGAGGCGAGTGCATCTGTGCCACGTGTACGCTATGCCTGCATACTAGCATGCGTCTCCCTCATCCCTATAAAAGCATATTAAATGTTTCAGAAAATGGGGATGAAAGGTGCATGAATGCTCTGAGCTCATATATAAGGGATCCGATTATACAAAAAAAAAATATCATATGGTCGTATTAGAGGAGTGTTTGTTGTATCATAGGTAAATATATATGGACGTGATCATACAAGAACACATGCCTCATATATAAAAGTGGATTAATCATATCAGTTTGTTTCATCATGTTTGGAGAGTTTAATAAAAAAATACATGTTTAATTTTATAAGTATTGCAAATTATAAAATTAACCCCTTAGCTTCCATTTATTCACTTATATTTTAGTAGTTTATATGACCATATGGATGAATAAAATCAATCAAAAATATGGCAGCATGGTTTCATTGGGTGCAATATTTTTATTTAAAATATAGATATATACACAAGGGCGATAGGGTCCTTCAGATTTTTATGATGGATAGAGACTTGCTTTAAGTACGATGACTTGCACTTTCCACTTTTTTTTTTGTTGTCTATTGGTGTTGGTGGGCAAGAATTTTGTAAGATAGTTTTGACTTTTGACTTCTAACATAACTTTGAGTTTTCCCCTGTAATGGCTCTCCTTGTATGCCCATTGGCCCAAAACATTATCTTTATGCTCAACGGTACGGTTATATTAACTTACCAAATAAGACTGCACTAGTCAAACCCATAGTCCACAAACTGGACATATTGTTCAGCTACTTAAGTACTCACACCAATATATGCCCATATATATACCATAAGTTTATATTAATATGTCAGCAAAAGACAATACTTGGTTGGAAAAACAATATCATAAGTGTCACAAAAAGTTATACTTTTCTGCGTCACTCACATTTGCTACAATGATACAAGTGTAGCGAATTCACTTGTATAAGTGTAGCTGATGTGCAAATTTGTACTAGTGATGACAGCAAAGGACAAGAAACAATTAAATCAATTAAGTTATGTTATTAGCTTAAAGTGAAAATGTCTCTGAGTTATCATGTTAGATGTCCAATTGCGGGTGTGGCGAAGAGAGGTTATACTAGGTTGGAACTTAACCGTGGTGGAGAATCTTTTCTCAAATTATTAATTGAACCAGATTAAAATTATCAAGGAATTGAACATTATAATTGTGCATGGGATATCAAGAATAATGACTTTTATTATAATTTGGAGAAACATATGAAGGATGAAGTATATGAACATCAATTAAGACCCTGCTATGGATGTAGAAGACAACATCTTCTCAGCCACCTAAATTTCGAGTAAGTAAAATATGAAGTATACCATTGTTGAACTGGAAATTAAACAAACAGAACAAACACTCTGCGGATTACAATTAAGAATCAAATTACATAATTATATTATATATATACTTTACCTTTATGAATATCACCACAAAGAAAGTTGATGGAGATTATGAGAATTGATCATATCGTTCTTGATGTTCATGCAGATATGGCGGCCCTATAAGCCGCGGGCTCGAGCTCACGTGGATGCATGTAAACTTTCAGCCCATTCTTCATGAACAGAGTCAAAGACATCTTCTGCTCAACGCGGTGGCCGGCCATCAGGGAGAGCCGGTAACGGAGGAGCACGGCGGAGGCCACCGATTTCATTTGCAGGTACGCCAAGTCCTTGCCTAAACAGGTTCTGGGGCCGGCATTGAACGCCACGAACTTGTAGCCATCTTTGGGCGTTTCGAACCGGTCTCCGGCGGCCGCGAGCCACCTCTCCGGTTTGAACTCCAAGCAGTCATCTCCCCACACGCTCTGCATCCTCCCGACGGAGTATATAGAATACGTCACCGTGGATCCGGCCGGGACATAAGTTCCGTCGGGGAGAACATCGTCGGAGACGACATACTTGAAATCCTCCGGCACCGACGGATACAGACGGAGCGTTTCGGCTAACGCCGCCTTGAGATAAACCAATCTGTCCGCCTCATCGAACACCAGCGGCTCTTCGATCCATTTTTCCCGATCTTCGCCGCGCGTTTCCGTTAGAACGGAGGAGATTTCATCGACGATCTTCTGCTCGACTCGCGGATTGTTCATGACTAGCCAGAAGAACCAGCTGAGCGCGACGGAGGAGGTGTCGCGGCCGGCGAGGACGAAGTTGAGAGCGATGCGCTTGAGAACGTCGTTGGGGAAGAGGTTCCCGTCGGCGTCTCTCTTCTTCATGAACCGCGAGAGGAGATCGTCGGACGGCGTCTGTTTACGCGCCTCCAGCGTCTCCGACATGTAATTCTCCACAACCTGGAGGCAACTCTGGAGCCTTTTCTCAGCTCCGACGCCTAGAAGCTTCTTCAACCGCCATAGAAAATCGGGATACAATAGCCTCTGCATCGTGGCCTCCGTGGCAGAATCGAAAGCGATCGAAAACGGATTTTCCGGCATTTCCGGCGAGAGAGTCTCGGGATCTTTCCCGAAGGTCAGCCCACAGATATTATCAAAAGTCAAACGGAGCAACAAATCCTGCAAGTCAACGGCCCTGTGGTTCCTGGAAGCCTTGTCCAAAATAACCCACAACCGGGTCCGGATCGTCCGGTTCACCCACCGGTTCATGGCCTGCCGGAGCGTCCTCGTCGTGAACTCCAACGCCGCCGTTTTCCTCTGAATCAGCCACGTATCCCCGTCGCTGTTAAAAATCCCCTCCCCCAAGAGATCATGAAACGCGCTCTGCCACGTCGGCCCTTTCGGGTAATTATCGAACCGGGTTCGGAGAATATGCTCGATGTTCTTCGGGTGGCAGGTCACGGTATAAAACCCTTGCCTCCATGCAACAAACGGCAAGCAAATGGTGGACGTCTGGTAGGTGGCGGCGCCGCCAGTGGCACGGAGGTTTCCGGCGATCCAATCGTGTATCCTCCTACGGTTCATGAATAGATACGGGAGACTGCCCACCACCGGCCAGACTTTGGGGCCGGTGAGGCGCTGCGCGAGGAGGGAGAACCAAAGGAGATAAACAGAGGTGGCGGCGGCGACACCGAATAAGAGCAGTAAAGTTTCCATTGTGGAGATGAGAGGTAGAGAAGAAAAGGAGTTTCTTGCAGAAATGGAAGAAAGCTAAAGAATGAGAGTGTGATGAGAGAGGGGAGAAGACTAGTGTCATATATAGAGTTTGCCGAAAGAGAAAGGTTTTAGGAAAGAGTTGTTGGGAAATTATGGGAAATATAGAGAGAGGGGTTTACTCTCTTGGTTGATACTATACCAACCGTAGTGTACACCATTTTTGTTCAAAAACAAAAAACCCATACCATACAGCTTTTTTAAATTTTGACTAAAACACAGTTTTGTGATTATATCCGACAAAAGACTATGGAGGTATTTAGTAAATAGATGTTAGCTGATTGTGTTAGTGTATTTGATTAATTGACAACATTAGCTGATTATAGAAAAATATTTGGTAGATTAGCTGTTAGCTGATAGCTGGTTACATGCAAAATACTTTTTTTTTAAAACTGATCAAAAAATTACTTTGAGCAGTTTTTTGAATTTTAACATTTTAGAACAAAAAACTAATTAATCAAATATTGATATTGATTGTTTAATCAAGTCAAACAACTAATAGTGGCCAACTAAATCAAAATTGACTGATAAGCTAACTATGTTATCGAACATGGTCTATAAAAAAGTAAACCATTTAGGTTACACATAATTAACTAGCTTAAACTCAAGTTAACAACAAGACCAACTTCGTCGGGGTGATCGCCATAGTCCTATACCAAAGGTTTAACATTAATATAATAATAATAATAATAATAATAATAATAATAATAATAATAATAATAATAATAATAATAATAATAATTTTATTATTGAAAGGAATCAAAGGATTACTTAAAGCAAAGTTGAATATTATTATAGTATGGTGTATTGGTGTAGCTAGAAAGTTTAAAATTGGTTAAATTTGTCAAAATTTAATTTGCATTATCTATAGTATAATTCTATTTAGTGGAAATCTATTACTAGAAAATTGCCGGATATATCATATATGAGCATTTGCCTTTCCAAAATATTTTATATCTCTATTTTCAATATAGATTAATATATATATATATATATATATATATATATATATATATATATATATATATATATATATATATATATATATATATATATATATATATAATTAGCAGTAAATTAAATTAAAGTTTCCTTTGTGAAGATGAGAGGTAGAGAAGAAAATAGTTGCTTGCGAGATGGAAGAAAGGAATGAGATAGGGGAGAAGACTAGCTTAGAGTTTGACGAAAGAGAAAGGTTTTAGGAAAGAGTTGTTGGGAAATATAGAGAGAGGGATTTTGTCTCTTGGTTGATATTATACCAACCGTGTACACCATTATATTTTTGCTCAAAAACCAAAACTATTATATGCCATACAACTTTAACATTAATATAATAATAATAATAATAATAATAATAATAATAATAATAATATGCATGTGTCTGTACTCTGATCTGTGTCTGTATTTCGTATAAGAAAGTTAAAAATCGATCGGAACCATCATTCTTGATAGATTTATTAATGACTCTAAAGCAAATGAAAAGAAAAAAAAATGTGATGGTTTTTTTTTTTTTTTTGATAATAATATCTAACTTTAAAGTATACTTAGCAACAGTGCGCTTTCATATAAATTTTAAAATGCACTAAATAATACCAGTAAACTTTTACATAATGTTGGATGTACCATGTAGTTTTGCAAAGTGCAGTCAATAGTATTATTAAGTAAATTTAAAAATTTAAGTTATTTATCAAAATATCATTAAAAAAAAAAAATGCCTTGCTTTAGGATTGTTAATATTGGAAAAATTGTATTACACATCAACTAGAAATCATGATTTCACAACTAGAAAATAGATATAAGTCATATAACTACGGAAAAAATGTCAAATTCTTCCAATTTTATAGAGAATCTCAAAGACAAAGCAGGTGTGGAATTACATGTACCGGAAGAAATACCTAGTACCAAATATCTTCCTAATTGTCTTCTAGAAGCAAAAGACCATTGATATATCAGGCATGGTAAAAGGAAACCATGGGCTTGCACCTTAATTTCTAACATAGGAAAAAAAAAATCCAACAAAACAATTATTAGAATTCCTCGCATTATATTGATATATATCAGGCATGGTATAAAGGAAATCATTAGCATACTAGCTAGCTTTGGGAGGAATTTTGGGTACAACGACAATTGTGTTAAGATTTTGAGCCACTCATTGTATAAATTCAATTTCGTCTTTTAATGTTTTGAGTGTTTGACGGGTTTGGAATTGATAAGTCACACAAGCAAGGCAATTCCTAATCTTAATTCTTGTTTTTTGCCAAGGATCAAATCTCTGACCTTTGGTTAATGATGGATGGGTCCCTTTCCACTCAATCACACCCCCGGGTTAAATGGTTAATCTTAATTCTTCTTTAATTCATCATGAGATGGACTTTTTTAGATTATGATTCTTATGTGCATTCCCTCAATTCCTTAGCTTGGTAAGTTGATTTTCCCCAATTATTATTAGATTGTATTATGCATCTAGAAGATAATGCTCCATAACATCATTGTAGTATCTGTTCATATACTTTCTCAACCTACTGAAACACAAAGAACCAATAACGCCTCCACTGAGGCTTGAACTCATAATCTTCCAAATGGAAGTCTAACCCGAATACCATTAGACCACATAGTCCTGGTATTTAATTTGTTGTTGATTGCTTCTATTCTTGTAGAAATTAATGTGTAGCTCTTAGTTACGTTGTTGTCATTGCATATTACGTACCATAACTGATCACAATCCCTAGAGAATGACATTATACCCATGCACTTTAGGCTACATCACCCACTGTTAGCTTTTTTCCCACCTTTATAAATTCTCATGATAATCCTAGTTAGTTATTCACGCGCAGTAAAAAATCCTTCAATTTTTGACCATCTAAAAATGTCAGAAATCAAAGATTTTGAAAGAAAACCCAAATTTCAAGGACTTAAAAAAAAAAAAAATTCTCGGTAATACCATTGGGATAATATATCCCATTTGTTGCATAATTTGGCCAACATAAATCTTAATGTTCCGACCATTAGTAAGTTAAAAAATATATATATATGTTTTAAAACAAATTTTCCAACCAAGAAGGGAGGTTTATATATATAGTTAGTGTTAGTGTGTTAGTATATACAATTTATATATTTAGAAACAACATAAATTATAATACTCAATATTAAATACAAAAAGATAAGATGGACTTCACTTAGTTTAATAGCAATTGTGAATATTTTTTTTTTTCAAAAATTAAAGTATTTTATTATCTAATTCTTTGCTTAGAAATGTAAAGTAATTAAGTAAAATGATACAATATGATCAAATAGGCCAGGAGAGATTTTGGCAAATGAGGATAACACAATTGTGGAGAGTCGTGGTACAAACACGTCCCATTTATCCTCGTCACAAACCTATTCTCCATCCAACGGCTGCGATTCTCTCACCACCAACCAATGGGATATATTATCCCAATTTCCACATAATTGGTGACATTATATTGTGCAAAACATCAAAAAAGCAGAGCTAGCTAGCTGAGAATCTGAGATATATCATATATGGCATCTTTGAACTTGTTCTTTTCTCCGGCGGCCGCCAAACAAAGGAGAGTGTACACGGCGGCTACCGCCGCCAAAAGCTCCGGCGGAAGCGGCGAGGAGAAGGGGCTGCTGGACTGGATCCTTGGAGGACTGCAGAAGGAAGACCAGCTGCTGGAGACTGACCCAATCTTGAAAAAGGTCGAGGGGAAAAGCAGCGCCACCACCGCCACGGTGGCCGGCCGCCGGAAGTCGGTGGCTGCTCCTCCACCCAAGAGTAATGCCAATGGCGGCGTCTTCGGCGGCTTCGGTGGCCTCTTTGCAAAGAAAGAATAATGATTAGTCTTGTGTTTATTCCATATATAAAGACTTTAATTTGTTTAATCGTCCATGCATGCATGCAATTCATACCATGTATAATTTGATTTACGAAAAAATTAAATCTGTAGTCAATACAGTAAGGGTGTACGAACTTCAATTCAATTATAGTGTTCATTTCTTCTCGTATGAATATTTTCTTTAGATTACTGCTATTTTCTATTTTAAATGGTGAAATCTCTATGCAAAAAATATTTAAAATAAAATATGAAGGGGGTGTTTGGTAAATAGTTGTTAACTGATTAGGTTAGTGATTTGGTTAATTGATAGCATTAGCTTATTGTAGAAAAACATTTGATAAATTACTTGATTGTTGGTTAGCAATTTTTTGAATTTTAACATTTTAGAGCAATAAGTTGTTACAAAAAGCTAATTAATCAAATACTCATATAGATTGTATAATCAAGTTAAACAACTAATAATAATTAAATAAATTAAAATTAGCTGATAAACTAACTATGTTATCAAACAGGAAGTATATATTTTTCAATGTACCATTATTGAACTTTCTTTAACATTTCTCTGTTTGAAGAAAATGCCATTATACATTTATGTTCAATACAATTAATACCCATTGGTTGCAATTGGCCAGGCTTAGAAAATGAGATTTTATAATATGTTGACATATACCTACCCAAATTCAATATAATTAAGAAATACTCCGTAACAAGTTAATTGTAGCATGAATATAATAATGCTCTTATAGCATAATTAGACAAATTCAAAAAAAAATATTATTAATCATTTACTAAAAGTATCGTATAAAAATAAGTTGAAACGATATTTGAGATTAGGGTGATCGATGGTACAAACATGTATGGTCCATGCAATACTACCAATCATTGTTGACATGCTGTTTTTAATCCAAAAAATAAAAAATAAAAATGTTGTGATTCTTTCCATTAATTGGTTCATTCCATTACAAGAAACAAGTAGCCAAACAACCTCAAATCATAGCAAATGGGCTCCATTCCAATCATAAATGCATACACATATCATCATGAACAACACATCCTCAACCACATGTTCGGATAAAGATCAAACGTCGTCGAGCGGGGACCGATTTGGGTCGCATGGTTCGTATTAAGTTTCATCATTTTTACTCAATAAAACACTTTCATTTTAATATCACGACCGTTCAATATTGTACATGCAATTCTCTACATTAAATGTTCACGACAGAGACTCCGGCCATAGCCTTGACTGGTGAGGTACACAGAAAAACAAATATGCTATATTTGCACTACATACACAATAAAGGAATATGGTGCAAATTGGTCTGAAAATTGACTAGGTAATATAAGATTCCAAGTTTGACTCATTGTAAAAGTTAACTATTGATTTTTTTTCAGTTTGAATAAGTCAGTTAGAATTAACTTAGGTTAATTATTTACCTCCTTGTGATTCTTTACTGGTCAAAGAATTTCACTCAAGGTGCACATTTGAATAACAACAGGAGATTTTTCGATTTGGTAATTACAAAGTTTTAAGTTCAACTCAATAGGAATTGTCTATTACTCCGTAACATTTTTGATTTGAGCCCATCAGCTCTTGGGGTAGCTACAACTATAACAAGCTTTTCTGTCAATTAAAGAATAAAGGAATAAGATGTTTCAAGTGTATATATGGTTGGAAGAACAATAATCCAAGAAAACAAACAAAACATGCCCAGAAAATCCTAGTACTTGTCGAAAACATGGAATATAGGAAGGAAACCATAAAAGCACAAACTACTTAGCTTATCCTGTTGTTGTTTCATCGATCATTACATATATTATGGTTTCGTGCACCAGTTTATTGAACACACACAATTCATACACCTACCAGTAGCTAGCTAGTTAGCAATAATTAAGGTTTGCAGGAGAGAGAATTGGATCTAGGGATGGTGGAGATGTTGTTCATGAAGTGGATGCAATCTTTAACGGCTTCCGCTCTGTGGGAATCATCAACGGCAAGACGAACAGCAGAAGCCGGCGGCGGCGTCTTGGTTGCGTTCTCCGACGAAGAAGAAGTAACTTTCCGGTTGCGGGCGCCAGTCTTGGCCGCCGGATACATGATCCGCAAAGCAGCTACCACCACCTTTCCGCCGACAAGTTTGAGATATCTTATCGGAGACAGTTCCCATCTTCTGAAACCGCTACAACTCCGGCTGAACTTGGGTGACGACGACGCTACTCCTCCTCCTCTGCTATCTGGATCCATATCTCAGCTTCAATATAAGGATGTTATTGGGTGGTGGAATTTGAAGAGAGGCAGATGAGATAGAAGAGAAGAGAATAATGATGAAAATTGAGGTAGCTAGCTAGGTAGGATGGGACATGGTGGTAATTACTTGCATGGCTCTCAGCTCAGACTCAATCTCATTTATGGCTACCCAACATACTGTCTGTCCACTCTTCAATTCGACAATGATTTGCAACGTAAATCAGTGATAGATCCACAAAAGCTAGCTAGCTGCCACTACTGCTTAATTAATCAATGCATCAATTTTGGTGTCCAATCTGTAAACATCGCACTCTTCTTTCCAAAGGTTGAATCCCCAACTCCATAATCACACACTCGAGTCCGACAAAACATTTGGAATGATGGAAATCACAGTAATGCACTAACTCTGCTGGCCCGGGGTGTTGCTGGTGAATTTCGAACATTAATCTCTTCTCCAAATACTGTCTATTAAATCAGTGAGCTAAGCTCTGCGGACAAACATCACACTCTAATAGCACCCATCCATTTGACATAATAATAATAATAATAATAATAATAATAATAGTTGTGAAAGCGGGTGGAGCATGATTGTCATATCAAAAAGTCACGAATTAAAATCTAATTAACATTCTCTAAAGTGATATTTGAAACCCATAATAATGTTCTAAAAATTAAACCTATCAATCATTTTAATACAGGGGCGGTGGGAGAGGGGGGGGGGGGGGGCGCGGGGGGGCGGCTTCACCCCTCACCCCACCCCCACCTCATATATAATATTTGTATGTATATATGTATATATAGTACATGTTTTAGTATTAGTATAAAAAAAACTATAAAACATTAACAACAAGTGAGTTAGAGTAGGTGGTAGAGTACATCTTTAGTAATAATGATGATGATGATGTTAACGGTTCCAATCTTAGCATCAACATAGTTTTGCAATTTTTTTAATAGCTTTTTTAATATTACACACACCCTATAATAAGATGTGTAATTTATAATGTGTTTTCTATTCAAATTATTTTATTAATTATGTTTCATATTTTGTTATGAATATTTTTATAAAGTTTCGATGTGTTTTATTTTTCGTCCATATCCAACAATATTTACTATTATAGTTCTTAGGTAGTTTATTTATTTATTTTTAAATTATCTATTTTGTTTTAATGTTTCGTCTTTTCTCGAAAAATTTTCTGAATCCGTCTGTACTGTTTCGCCCCCCCTTAACCGAATTTCTGGCTCCGTCCCTGTTTTAATACACAATCCTTAGAGTTAACCCTCAATCGTTATGCTGTGCATCCGTATGCACCATGCATAGTGCATACGGATGCCAAAACGACGTCGTTTTATTAAAAAACGCGCGTCTCCCCTTTAAAAAAAATTCAGGTTCGATTCCCAGCAACAACATTATATTGTTCATTCATTCTGGAATTTTAGTTCATAGATTATGGAATTATAGTTCATTGATTATGGAATTATAGTTCATCAATTATGGAATTGTAGTTCATCGATTCTGAAATTTTAGTTTATAGATTATGGAATTTTAGTTCATTCATTCTGGAATTTTTAGTTCATAGATTAGATTATGGAATTATAGTTCATCGATTATGAAATTTTAGTTCATATGTTATTGTTGGGAATCGAACCTGATTTTTTTTTTTAGGAGAGACGCACGTTTTATTAAAACGACGTCGTTTTTGCATCTGTATGCACCATGCATAGTGCATACGGATGCACAGCATAATTTGCCGTTAACCCTGTCAACCTGTCAAACACACCTAACTGTTATCCACTGTTACAGTTTACCCATGTTCCCCGTCCGATGAATTTGTTTGTCTACGGTTTTAGGCCGGGAAGTTGAACACTTAGCCATACAAAGTTGGGCCAACAGCAAATCGTTTTGATCCCATGGCAACAAATAAATAGGATTTTTTATTATTATAATCCAAATTTTTTACTTCATTGGACCATATCTTATCTTATATATCCTATAAACTTGCCTCCAACTCCACTAAGAAATAAATCAAGCCACTTTAACTTTCATATTTAAATCCATACTCCTTCTATTCCATTTTACTTATTATATTTAATAATCAATTTAACGTTATCTTCTTTACTTATTTTTCTAAAAAAATAAATAAATTATTTTTAGATTTAATTTCTTTTATATTTAATAGTACTTTTAATAATTTAGTTTTTAAATATATAAATTTTATATACTAATATTAAACTTAATATTATGAAAATTTGAATTAAAAATAATTTAAATAAAACCTTGTTAAAAGAACTAAACACATAAAATAGGAGAGAGAGAGAGAGTGCATATTTATTATTTATTTATTTTTTTGAAGGGAGAGTGCATATTTATTTTTAATGTACCATAAATTGATTTTTGGTAAATAGTAAGATCATTATATTTTAGTACAAATTTATTTTTTTGGGGAAGATCGAGGAAGCCAAGGGGGATTAACCCCCGAGCCAGGCAAAGCCCGACTCTTACAGAAGAACAGAAAAGTCATCAAAACCTCTAAAAAGCTCGAGGGCGCCCCAAACATGGTTAAGTGGCCTCTCAAACTCAATATAGTCACAGCGGCGTTGAACTGCTATTTTAGCCAAAGCATCAGCCAAAATGTTATTCTCTCGGAGGCTAAACTCCCAATCTTGATTGACACTCTCTCGGCACGCACGAACAATGCCATCAATAGGGCTAAGCAAGGCACAACCACCGTTAATTCACTCAACGACCTCCTTGGCATCGCTACAAATCCAGAGTTTCTTGACACCTTTATCCCGAGCCCATTGAAGGGCAGTGTAGATAGCCGAGGTCTCTCCCTCTGCACTGTGGTAGCCATCCATTCACCATCACCGTTCATCGTGACACCGCCACATCCCACAGGCTCCTCATCACCGGAATGGAAGGAAGCGTAT